ATTTAGAAATATCACATGCATACGCTTTATACAGTCGTGTTCCCCAATGGCAACTTTAAATTCTATGTGACTTTATGACTTTGCTGTCAGTGCAGCTTGTATTGTTTTGGTGAAATTTAGTTGGTGCCTAACATGCATTTACAGACCTTTCAAAGACTGTTATAGATGCATTTTTTCTTCCTTGTTGTTTTAGAGGATATGTGACTTCTTCTATCAGTGCAGCAACTTGTGATGTGGTAGTACAATGACATATGAGGCCAATGCAACTAGATGCCTTCTTTTGTTATGTTGTGTGAAGGGTATGCAACTTCTTTGATGGTTAGCGCGCTAATCATGTTTTAGAGTTATAAAAATAAAGTCAATGATCACTGTTCCTTGGCTGAGCAAGTAGTGCCAGATAAGCAGTCTTGTGAGGTCTGTGGAAGAAAACAGCTTGAAAAAATAGCCAAACATACGCTCTTCGTATGCACAAGTTCCTAGACTGCACATGTGACTGAAGAAGTCTTCACCCATTCCATAGCTCGGGGGTGGCCAAACGTATAGGTCCTCCATATGACAATCTTCAGAAGTTTGAGAGCCAGGGTGAGCCTGCTGGGGCTTCAGCCCCATGAGGCACAACTGCAGGGGCTTGCGGCTTCAGCCCTGTGGGTCGGGGGGTCTGGGGCTTCAGCCCCAATCCTGTTGAAGCTCTTAGCCCCAGCCTTGTTGGGGTGAAGCCCTAAAGCCCCCCTTGCCAGTGGGCAGAAGCCAGAGGAGACACGTGGGGGTCCATGTGCGGTGACATCCCCCCCAGATTTTTGCCAGGGTTTGCTGGCCCCACTCAGTCACATAATGTTGCAAGGCTCCCGCCCTGTACAGTAGCTGCTGGAGCCGGCAAGCTGAGAGATGCAGCTTTGGAGGGGCTGCAGCAAACAGCTGGGAGCTGCAGGGAGAACCCTGCTTTTGCAGTTGCCTCTCCTCGCAGAGCTAACATCTGGGAACTTTAGGGTGGGGCCGCAGAGGGTAAGAGCGGGGGCATGCCTCAAATTGGGGGTGGAGGGGTGAACCTTTAAATTGTTCCCCCCCAACTCTCAGCAGGCATCTGTTGTCTCTGGCAGAAGTCCCTAACCCCACCACCCCACTGCAGGGCAGAAGCCCCAAGCTCCCTCCCCAGTCTGTTAGATGGAGAATGTGGGGTGGGGGCGTGGGAGGCTCCACGCGCCACACTTTAGCTGTAAAAGAGCCACATGCAGATCATGAGCTACAGTTCGACCAACCCTGCCGTAGCTGTTCAGTTCACTACACCCTTTGGTTATCTAACAGGTGGTAAATAGATGCATGATGGGGACAAGTGAACTGGTTTGGATAAAATAGGAAGCCCCCTCATCTTTCAACCAGAACTCAGATCAAACCCAAACTGAAAATTATTTGAGATTGGAAAAAATGTAGGTAACTCTCTATCCTTTATCCCTTGGCATTATTTTGAACTTTGACATGTCCCTGTGCTTCTTAGTTTCGTCTGGGACCAGAAGTGAACTAGGAGTAATCTTGTGATAAAGGAATAGTTGTTCTGTCCTGATTTCCAGCCCATGGATTAGAGCTGAAAGAGCTAATTGGTAATTTTATACATATATTTGTTCCTGTTCATGAATTATCTTCAAGCAGCTTTCAAACTTCACAAATTAATTCATTGTTCAAAATTATCTGGTGAATAATATTTTGGTCCATAAAGCTCAAGCTGGTCCTACGCAAACACTGGGTATTAGAAATTTAAGAGATTTTTGGTTTGACCAGAAAGAGATGATCTAGTGATCTCTCTCCTGCCATCCATCTCCACCCTCTGACAGAGAGAGTATTGTTCCTATTTTCTGATTGCAGGACTGTAACTCTTAGAATCAGTTTACTCAAATTTGAAATTTGCTTTCACTGAATATTACCCAGTATTATCTTGCAATTTGCTGTAGCTTTGAATACTTCTGCTAGTGCATATGTTGCTATAACATTTTGGACAGTGAAAACGATAGAGCATCATCAATACAGCTGAGTAAAATTCAAAATGTTTGAGTGAATATTCACAAACATCCCCACCCCTTCCCCCAAGTATTTGCTTAGCTCTAGTTTGGATAAACATCCAAAGAAACTGATCCCAAACAGAACCTTTTGAGATTTTCACAGACAAATGAAGTACACTTGACACTTCACAACCATGTCAATGCAAAATACCTCTATATTCATGTTTTGATAACCTATATATTTCCCAAATGGAACATTCTGAAGTAGGTATGTCCTAAAACTATCCAACAGATATAACAGCAATATTACAAAATAGGTGTAAATCAAAAAGAATCAAGGTAAATACCAGATAAATTCTTGATTGATCGTGAAGAGCACAGCAATAAAAGATCACAGAGAAGCCCAAATTCTGCCCTTTGGCTATTGTACTTGAAACTACTGTTGACTTTGATGAGAGTTGTACAATTTGTGCCTACATAAGAGTAAAATTATCCTCGATCCTACTGGAGAATAAAATCACACCTGTAGCTGGTATCCTATTAGGCATTGTAGCCAGAATAGTTAGCATCTGAAATTTAACCATTGTATCTGGACTAATTGGTATGCATAAAAATATCATACCCAGATAATCCTTCTCTTTTGGTTGGCTGGAGTGCGTTTGTTTTACTGTTAGAAGGTAAAAGTCCTTGGTGGGTAGTACAGCAGACTAGTGTATTAGACACACTAATATATTCAAGTGGGATTTAGCATAAAAGGTGGTGTGCTACACACACTGTATAATAGCTTCCCTTCAAAGTCAACATTTGCCACATTACCACATACAGTAGAAATGGAGATGAAGATGACATGGTATTTCTCTACATTTAATATAGGGGGAAAATAGGGATCAGTCATACCTCTGCTTGGTAACTGTCAAATATTTTTTTAATGGCAGTAATGTATATGTAAGTATAGGAAACATTTATTTCTGATAACATAATGAATATGACATGTGGCATTTGCAATGTAACCATCCCCTTTATTCTCAATATTATATGTACATATACAACAGCAGATTAGATGACAGTTTTTTTAGAGCATGACATTTTGAAAGTTCCAGTAGATTCCTAGTGAAAAAGTGCATGTACATTTATATAAACTACAGTACAACGCACCTATTTGTACTAATAAATACACATGTAAACAGACTACTAGAGAAGTTCTAATGGCTATGCCTAATTTGGCTGCATACTTCTGAGCATGAAGGAGAATTCAGCTTAATTTTCTCACAGCCTCTATTTTAATCTCTGTCCCAGTTTTCCAAAGTCCATCTCTGCTCATGTAAATGTAACATGATCTGAGCTGCATGGGATAATCTTGATGGGAGAATAGTTTATATCATTTTAAATGAGTGAGATGCTTTATGTGACATTCTTGTTTAAGTGGCATGAAAATCTGAAGTTAAGTGCTATGTAAATGAGGGCAGAATAGAGCCCTTTGTATCTCATTTCCAACGTGTTACAGGATCATCTAGAGCTATAACCACATAAATCCCCTGAGGCTGCATCTCCAAGTCTCACTCTTACTATGCTGTTCCCTGATCACAATGGATATCCACTCAATTGAGACTGAATCTCAGGGAAGTCTCACCAATACTCTTTCTAAATTTGAAACATCATCTCCTTATGGCCCCTTTTTACATACACTATGGTTTTCTGATAGTATTTCTGCTGAGACACCACAGAGTCTGTTTTTATATGTGCGCTAGAGTATTTAAGGGGAGACAGGAGTCAGGCGCGTCTAGTAATCAGACCAGGGAAGAGTTAGCTGGGATTCCAGAGTAGAGCATATTCCCAGCTGTCTGTCACTGATTCATTGTGTGACCACAGGCAAATCGTAACCTCTTTCTGCCTGTTTACTCATCTACAAAACTGGTAAAAAGAAAAGGAGGACTCGTGGCACCTTAGAGACTAACAAATTTATTTGAGCATAAGCTTTTGTGAGCTACAGCTTACTTCATCACGAAAGCTTATGCTCAAATTTGTTAGTCTCTAAGGTGCCACAAGTCCTCCTGTTCTTTTTGCGGATACAGACTAACACGGCTGCTACTCTGAAACTGGTAAAGTTTGTAAACATTTTCACATTGTGAGATCTCAAGGGCAAGGCACTATACAGCACAAAACTGAAATACTACAATTGTTTATATAGGCACATCCTAACTCAGAATGAATTCTTATGCCAAACTAAAAACAAAATAAAAATAGATTCATAAAAACGAGATTTTTAAAGTTAAAAAAAAATTGGAAGCAGTAAACTGCAGTACTATTCTTCAGTGTATAATCTGCACACTGATATGTAAATAGGGGGGCAGGCTCTCCTATGGCTGTGTGACCCTCTCAGCAGGAAAAGGGGAAGGGGGTGCGGAGGAAGGGAATGCATAGAGACGTGTACAAGGATATTCATGAGCTGGGAACTTCTTCTGCAAAAATAGCTTTCCTGCACAGTCAATGGGGCATAGCAGTCTGTTTAAAAACCCTTATTAAATTAAGAGGAGCTTTCTGCAGTCACCACGCTTTGCTGCTGTGTTTGTACTTCCATAACGTGGTTGAGAATACTGGAGCTTAATATTAACATGAAGGTTTAGAAAAATGCAATAACATTCAGATACAACTTGAGTACTGAAGGAGCAGAGATATGGAACATGAAAACTTGATATGTCTCACCTGAGGAAGTACCAGGTCTTCTGCTTCTCTTTGTTCCTTTTACAAAGAATATCTCTTATGCATTATTTTGTCACCACAAGAAGACAGAGGGATGGGCAGCCAGGCACTCCTCTGTATGTTAATTACCTAGGCTTTCCTGATGGTGAAAATCAGCAGGCTTCCTTGGCTTTTCGCTCTTTTTTTTTTTCCTTCTCAGATCAGAATACAAGTCCATCCCACCTACTGTAGTAATATTATCAGTCTGTGTATTAATACAATGTATTTGTTCATTCATAAACGTATTCATTTAATCACTGCTGTACTCACCTTACTCCTGAATGTCTCTGACTGGATTTTGTGCCGTTTAAGCAACATTTTTGCTTTGCAGAATTCCTGTGACATGACAAAAACCCTAGTTATTTAAAACCTAATGTGGTACAATGACTTCCATCCCAAATATCAACTCTTACATAACCTTGAGATGGCCATTCATTCTTTCCCTGGAGAAGTTCAGGGAAAAGGTGTAGTGCTCCTCTAAATCACAAATGAAATAAGTTTGTTAGCTTGAATAGTATTTCTCCTTGCAACCCCCCACACATTTCAATGCATTCCATTAGTCATTGTTCAAATAAGGCTGCTCTCTGACCCCAGGGGGAGAGGAGGAGGGAGCTTAGGGTTTAAACACATTTGCTGATCAGTACATAGAGGGACATTGTTCTTCTTCTTCTTCTTCCTTTTTTTTTTTTTTTTTTTTTTTTGCATGTCCTGTTTATTGGGGGGGTGGGGACAAACAAACCTAGTTTCCAGTACCACAATGTTTCAGTTTTTGGGCACACTGTATGTTTGATGCAGCTAATTTAAATAAATGACTTTCACATATAAGCAATTAAACCTATAATTAGCACTGTTTGACTGAACTAATCCTCTAATATCCTAACACACACTTATTTTCGCAGACATTTTTAAAGGGAGAGAATAAATATTTCAGAGGAATTGCAAGTAATGCAATATAAAAACATAATGTATTTTAATTTCTGTGAATCAAAGCAGCAACACAAGAAGATAAAGCCCTATTTAGATCAATATTTTTCTTTCAGCTTTGCAAGGAATGTGAAATTATGCATACTCCCTTCCTCTGAATTAAAAGGAAAAGTCAGCAATAACCAAAAGAACCAAATCTTTTTTAAGTAAATGGTAAGCTTTTAGCACTACTATGTTTTAAAGGTTTCAGAGTAACAGCCGTGTTAGTCTGTATTCGCAAAAAGAAAAGGAGTACTTGTGGCACCTTAGAGACTAACCAATTTATTTGAGCATGAGCTTTCGTGAGCTACAGCTCACTTCATCGGATGCATACTGTGGAAACTGCAGAAGACATTATATACACAGAGACCATGAAACAATACCTCCTCCCACCCCACTTTCCTGCTGGTAATAGCTTATCTAAAGTGATCACTCTCCTTACAATGTGTATGATAATCAAGTTGGGCCATTTCCAGCACAAATCCAGGTTTTCTCACCCTCCCCCCCCCCCCCCACACACACACAAACTCACTCTCCTGCTGGTAATAGCTTATCCAAAGTGACCACTCTCCTTACAATGTGTATGAAAATCAAGGTGGGCCATTTCCAGCACAAAACCAGGTTTTCTCACCCCACCCCCCCCAAACACACACACACAAACTCACTCTCCTGCTGGTAATAGTTCATCCAAAGTGACCACTCTCCCTACAATGTGCATGATAATCAAGGTGGGCCATTTCCAGCATAAATCCAAGTTTAACCAGAACGTCGGGGGAGGGGGGGGGGGTAGGAAAAAACAAGGGGAAATAGGCTACCTTGCATAAAGACTTGATTATCATACACATTGTAAGGAGAGTGGTCAGTTTGGATGAGCTATTACCAGCAGGAGAGTGAGTCTGTGGGGGGCGGGGGGGGGTGAGAGAAAACCTGGATTTGTGCTGGAAATCGCCTACCTTGATTATCATGCACATTATAGGGAGAGTGGTCACTTTGGATAAGCTATTACCAGCAGAAGAGTGAGTTTGTGTGTGTGTGTTTGGGGAGGGGGGTGAGAAAACCTGGATTTGTGCTGGAAATGGCCCACCTTGATTTTCATACACATTGTAAAGAGAGTGGTCACTTTGGATGGGCTATTACCAGCAGGAGAGTGGGGTGGGAGGAGGTATTGTTTCATGGTCTCCGTGTATATAATGTCTTCTGCAGTTTCCACAGTATGCATCCGATGAAGTGAGCTGTAGCTCACGAAAGCTTATGCTCAAATAAATTGGTTAGTCTCTAAGGTGCCACAAGTACTCCTTTTCTTTTTATGTTTTTAAAAATACCTCAAAGCCCTTTTATGAGATCTGTTAGCTCACTGTATTTTGAAACGTGGACACACATCTAATCCAGTGGTAGTAGAACTGACTGAGTCATACCCCAAGAGTTTGCCTCTTACTGGCTGAATTGTAGCCTCTCTGCATAAGATAGAAATTTATTAGGAGAAAATTATTCTGGTGTCCTCTGACAACAACATTCCTGATAAAAATCTTATTCTGAGAGCAGTCTAACAAGATACATTTGTTGGCTGTTTTTGTTCCTTGGACTCGTCTTTTAATTTTAGCTCTGTTTTACGGCTGTATATTTACATTTAGAGCCAGACATGATCTATGTGTGTTCATGTGGAATTTGGGAGGGATGGTGGGAGGGGAAAGGAGGTGTGACAGGGTCAGGCCAGATGGCTATAGGAGAATAATAGAATGCAGATACTGGAGGACTGAGGAGTACAAGCATTATCAGACACCAGGAGGAAGGTCCTATGGTGAGGATAAAGAAGGTGTTGGGAGGAGGCCATGGGGAAGTAGCCCAGGGAGTTGTGGTTGTTACGCAGCTGTTCCAGGAGGCACTCTAGACAGCTGCAGTCCACAGGGCCCTGGGCTGGAACCAGGAGTAGAGGGTGGCCCAGGTTCCCCCCAAATCCTCCCGACTCCTGGCCAGATACAGGAGGAGTCGACCTGGACTGTGGGTTCAGGAAAACGGCCAAGCTGAGGGCTGCCGTGAAGCTCCAAGGCGAGCAAATCCGCCAATGAGCGCAGGACCCGCCAAGGTAGCGCAGGAGCTTTGTCACAGAGGATAAAGTTTAGGTGACAGCCTCTTTTCTTCTGCAGTTAAAATCCAGAGGGGAAAATCCTCATCGTATTTTTGTGTCAAAAGCTGGAACTGGTCAATTATCTGTTTGTGCCACATTGAAATCTGTGTTCATAGGAGTCCCTCATCATAAAAATGTGTAATTTTCTTAGATTTTGATACATCTGTTCATCAGCTCTGAAATCAGTAGATTTTACTGCACTACTCAGGGAATGTGGGAATAACACCATACTGGTGTTGTATCATTTTGTTTCTAAAACTATATTCAATTTGTTTCTAGAACAGACAATGTAATGCAGCCTGGCAGCCCTCAGGCCATTCAGTTGTGTTTGGGGGCCCACACCAGTCCGTTTACACAACTCTCTGGGGAAGAGGACTCACAACTTACTTCCCCCTGACCAAGTGCCCAAGCAGGTTACCCACTCCTAATTCCACCTCATTTTAGGCTGGGAGTCAGGTTCCTTCCTTCCAGGACTCCCCAACTATTTTTTCCACAGGATCCCTGCCTTATTCAGTGTCTTGAATGAAGGGTGCTCAAAGAAAGAATCACTTTTTTTAAGTGCTTGAAGCTGCTTTCTGTGATGGCCCCAAATTTTTTGTTGCAGAAGTGGGAAGATGTGCATGAATGAGGGAGATGGCTGGAGGAGAAAAGAAGATGGTATTGTGGTGAAGGTAGTGTACTGAGACGTAGGAGACCTGGAACTTGGTTCTCTCTCTCTCTGCTGCACATGTCCTACGTGATGTTTCCCAAAAAGATGATGATTATTAATCATGTTCTCATTTTCTGGGTGCCCCACTTCAGACACCTAGGGCCCGATTTTTAGAAGTGTTGAACATTCTCACTGCAGCTGAAATCCCGGGGGGCTGCAGATGCTCAACATCTCTGAAAAATCAGGCCCTAAGTATCTCAAATTGGTGAAAACTTGCAAATTTTAGCCTTAATCTCCCTGAGCCTCAGTTCCCTATCTGTAAAATGGGGATAATTATACTTTGGTAACTCAGCAGGGACTTGTAAGGGTTTATTTGTGGGGTCTAGATGCTATGTTGTTGAACAACCCTATGAGGAAATTGGTAATTCTGTATCCAGTGTGGGGTTTGGTTGATGTTCAGTGAATAAGGCATAACAGGGCTAGTATGTCTCAAAAATTGGTCGAGAGATTCCCAATTATGCATGTCCCCTCCTGCTTCTACTTCCTGTCATCAGTGGGAGGGTGGGGGGAGGCACTCTTAGCCACATATACATAGTGAGACTGTTGGGTATTGCTTTAAAATTCTAAACCACAGAGACACAAGGAGTCTTTCAAAACTCAAACCATATAAGTCCTGCTCTAGGGCATATACCTCTCACCCTCTCCACAGCCACAAAGCTATGGCTAGAACAGTGCTATATATACAATCACTTAAATGAAATCTCTATGTCCATGGTCTGGTTGGGGACCATGCTCTAGGTCAAGGGTTCTCAAACTGGGAGTTCTGACCCTTCTGGGGGTTGCAAGGTTATTGCATGGGGGGCGGGTCCTGAGCAGTCAGACTCCACCCCCAAACCCCACTTCACCCCCAGCATTTATAATAATGTTAAATATAAAAACTGTTTTTAATTTATAAAGGGGGTCACACTCAGAGGCTTGCTATGTAAAAGGGGTCACCAGTACAAAAGTTTGAGAACCACTGCTCTAGGTGGTGGTTTGGATTCACTTTGGATGGGCTAGCACCAGCAGGAGAGTGAATTTGTGTGGGGGGGTGGAGGGTGAGAAAACCTGGATTTGTGCTGGAAATGGCCCACCTGTTGATCACTTTAGATAAGCTATTACCAGCAGGACAGTGGGGTGGGAGGAGGTATTGTTTCATATTCTCTGTGTGTATATAAAGTCTGCTGCAGTTTCCACGGTATACATCTGATGAAGTGAGCTGTAGCTCACGAAAGGTCATGCTCAAATAAATTGGTTAGTCTCTAAGGTGCCACAAGTCCTCCTTTTCTTTTTGCGAATACAGACTAACACGGCTGTTCCTCTGAAACCTGCTCTAGGTGGAGTCTTTATGATCAGGGAGCATGTTATGTGGAGGGCAGAGGGAAAACTGAAGGACCCTAATAACGATCTTTTAATGTAGTTGTTGTATGTAATTATATACATATAATATCAAATATTGGTTGTATTGATTGTGTATATATTCCAACAAACAAATCTTTGGTAACCATTAAGGTTGCTTCGGTGAAAAGCCTCCTTATGCAATCTCTTAAAAGCCAAGAAATATCCAGTTAAAGTAGATTTCTTTAATGTACCTAATTTCCACAAATCATATTAACTATCATTCTGTCAGAGTCCAACCCTCTGAACTACTGTGTGAAAATCTGACCTGGGTCAGCAAAAGTTATCCTTGTCACAAATTTTCTACTTAGTGTCCTGTTTGGTCCAGAAGTTCTAAATTCTGCTTTAAAGAAACGGTATTTTCAAAACCATATTGTTGTTGTTCCTATTCATTAATTCCATCAGAGAGCTGAAAACCATTAACAGCTATATTTTGGGGAGGGTCTGTTGTATACCACAGTTTGATTTTGATTGTTACATTTCAGTACTGTCAGCATGTTTCAGTATATTTCATTGCACTGTATCCACACAAATAAAAACAGAATGAAAATATGCAATTCTGAAGTGTTCACAGCAAATTGCATAAGTAACTTTAATTGCCTAACTTTTTTACTTTGATTTTTTTGAATGTAGGGGTTTTATATGTAATATAGGTTATAATTAGATGTTAAAGGCCTACGCCAATACCTTCTGAAACTGAAGATAGAAAAGAACAGCGAGAGAGAGGGAGAGGCAAGATAGCCAACCAGAAGCCTGTAAGCACAGCATGACCCTGGAAAAAGCTCGAGAGAGAGCGCTTTTGGGTCTGGGGTTGGATAAAGAGGTTTGGAGGCTGTAAGCTAAGAAAATGCTCCTTTTGTTCCCAATTCCTTCTCCATTCAGAGAGACAAGAGTTTGTACATTCATTGTACATAAACAAGATTGCATCACACAAAATGCCATCAATTTCTACTTCCAACTGGAACATCCCAGGGCCCCGAACTTTGACTAGCCACTCAGGTTGAAAAGGAGCAACAATGTAATAGGACCAACATTTTTTAAAAATGAGTGCTTAAAGTTAAGCTCCTAAATCTATATTTAGACATGTATCAGAGGCTTGATTTTGAAAGGTGCTTAGCACTCAGAGCTGAATAAAAAAAGGGCTGTTAAATATAAGCTGTTGTCTGTAGGACCCCTGTCTGATTTGCTGGAGAAGCTGGGAAAATAAAAGTACTAACTTAGTTTCAAAATTGTAAAAATGAATAAAATGTGTGAATTTTAGATACGATGCATGTAAACTGGCAACAGTATATACAGTATGTCTGCATCACACAGCAGGAGAGCTGATCTAGTTATTAGCTAGAGAAGCTCCGAGCAAACAAAAACTGCACTGTATGATTTTTCCTTTTTGGTTTCATATGACATATTGACCTCTGCAACCTAAGTAAATCCAAACCCTTCAGCATGACCATAGAAGCCACCCTCTGCAGACATTTGCCCTGCAGTGGATTGGAGACAGGTGATACACAGGGATATGGAATCAGAAGAAATTGATATTGGGAGCTAAATTTGTGTCCATATCCCCAGATTGCTTAGCTTACAAATGTAATGGCATTGTGACCCTAGCTACTGGCATGTAAACTGGGGTTGATTCGCAACAGTCAGCGGAAAAGTGCTTTAGGCCCCTGAGTTGTTATAGCTTTTTAAAGTTATCCAATATAATGTGCTTTTATTGATTTGATGCTGAAATTACCATTTGAGTTTGGTGTTCATTGTAAACCCGTTTTCAGCAAGGAAGAAAACCTGAAAAGGCTGGACTGTGGATTCTGGTAACCATTCAAAACTTTGGATGCTTGTTTGAAGCTCATTAGAACGTTTGGAATCTGATTCTGCATATTAGTACTGGGAATTTCTTGAAAACAGGTTTTTTTGAGTGTGACTTCTACAGCTTCCAATTCTGGTCTAAGACAGAGGTTAGAACTAAAGTTTAAAATTTGAGTTTCAACATTTCAAAACCTGGGCATGGGTGGAGCTTGATTCAAGGTCTATTCCAAAAATGGGGAAAGGTACAAGGATGGGATGGCTCTAATGTTACCTCAATCAGTTCATCCAGCTCTATTATTCAGGAGCAGTGGAGTTTCATATCCTATTTGACTGAAATGTCGTGTTAAAATTGCTAGAGTAAATATGTATTTGAATAAAAAATTACTTAAATCTAGATGGTCAGATTTTGATCCCAGTTTCTCTAGGAATTCTCTGACTTCAACAATCTTATTCCAGATTTAAAGGTGTGTATCTGACATCAAAATTTGGTCCAAAAGTGTTTGTATAGTGATGCTTTAATATAAAATAGCAATAATATGTCCTAAAATTCTTTTTTCCCTTTTCCCTCTGCCAAAATAAATAAATCTCTCCCCCCTGTCCCAATAGCATAAAACCTTTTTGACTGTCTGGATTAATTTAAATATAATACCCCCATCACTGATCTCATGTCTCTCCCAGCCTGATGGTTTCCAGCAGGCTCCCTCTTACCTTTGCTGATCTCTCACAAAAGCCTTGGCAGAGCATCGGCAGCTCTGATCATTTCCTCTGGGCTGGTTGCCATTGCCATATTTTATATACTTCAGGGTTTCCAGGGGGTTGCAGATGCACAATGCGTCATTGAAGTGTTATGACCAAACAAGGCTTGAGCACTGCAGCTTACCCAGCATTTTGCCAGACCTGCTGTGAGATCCTCTCATGGGCTCGGGGTGGGGAGAGATAAGCAAAGGTTTGTGGGCGGTTGGAGGAGAGTGCTGGAAGCAGAACAGACCTTGGGTGGGGGGAAAAACAAAGTGTTGTATATGGGGGAAAATACACAGGGTGGCAAGGGAGGGATTAGTAATTGCATTGGGAAATACCTAAAACAGAAAGAGGTAAGAATGCAATTGATCTGATTCAGGATGGGATGTATCAGGTAAGGAACAAATTATAGCAGGAGAGAGGGGAAGAAAGGTGAGGGATGGACAGAGCAGAGGGTGAGGAGAAGGCTACAGTTGGAGTGGGAGAAAGAGAGGCTGTAGAGAGGGTTGACGGTGAGGAAGAGACTTCACATAGGATAAAGTGAGATAAGCATCTTTGCTTGTAGAGGTTTAACTGAACTGGACTGTACCTCAAACCTTTTGGGAACAGTCCACCCCTAATTACAATGCCAGTACTATGTGAGATTATGATGTGAAAGCAATGTACCACAAGTCTCCGTGAGCCCATTACTATGCTTCTATGATGTTATGATATGAAAAGAGAAAATTATTTCAGTACAGTATTTCTATGCCTGTTTCTCTGTGATGTTGACAGTGGGTCTTGTTACATTATATGTATGACATACATTCCCAATCCCACACATAAGCAATTCATTAATTTAGATTTAAGGTTGCTAGACTGCATACTGTAAAAAGCTAAAAACCAGCTAGATAAGTCACTCGGCACCCTCTCTATGTTCCATACATTAGTCCCCTCCACAGGCTCAATCAACCTCCCTTTGATCACCTACAAGTGATATCTCAATTAACATGTTCATGGGAAGAATAGCTGTGGAGGAGGGATGGAACTGAAGGACAGAGAACGCAAATGGAAGTGTTGGGGGAGGAGAAAGTAAGTGTTCGTTATCCACCTCCAAGCTGTCCAAGGCTAAGTGGGAGGTCCTTGCCTTCTGCAGCAGAAGTTCCTGTCTGATGGACCTGCTCATGGCTTTACCTTTAGCCCAGTGGCTCTCAACCTTTCCAGATGACTGTACCCCATTCAGGAGTCTGATTTGTCTTGTGTACCCCTAAGTTTCACCTCACTTAAAAACTACTTTCTTCCAAAATCAGACATAAAAATACAAAATGTCACAGCACACGATTACTGAAAAATTGCTTACTTTCTTATTTTTACCATATAATTATAAAATAAATCAACTGGAATATAAATATTGTACTTACATTTCAGTGTATAGTATATAGAGCAGTATAAACAAGTCATTGTTGGTATGAAATTTTAATTTATACTGACTTGGCTAGTGCTTTTTATGTAGCCTGTTGTAAAACTAGGCAAATCTCTAGATGAGTTGATGTAACCCCTGGAAGACCTCTGCGTACCCCCAGGGGTATGCATACCCTGGGTTGAGAACCACTGCTCTAGGGTACCACAGGAAATTCACTAGAGGGAACCTGGCTTTATTGCAGCGCTCTTAGCTTTGCCTCTGAGGACTGCAAACAGTATTGCCACAAACATTTGAAGATGGTGAGTCAGGCCCCCCAAAATCATGAGATTTTAAAAGAAAGTGGATTCTTTATATTTTTTCCTTCTGACTTTTGAGCCTTTAGGGTGCACTTAGGTCACTTTTTCAAGCTTTTCTATGTGGGTTGGAAATGTTATTTAAAATGAAAGCTGAGAGTCTAATATCACATGACTCTGTGAGCTGGGGCTTTGAGGAAAAACATCAAATAGTGCAAGACTCATGATAAAATTGCAACAGCTGGCAACTCCCCTCCGTTCTTCTTGCCTCTTGTTAGTGATAGAGGCTGGAACATGGGGAGGGGGAGAGGAGTGGAGGAGAGGGAGATGGAGCGATTTCCAGCTGAAAATACCTTAGGAGCAGAAGTATGAGCTTTAAGTTATGGGTGCCTGACAACTTGGGCTTCCCTGCCTTCCTGCCCTTTGAACACTTTTCATTAATAGGGGCTAGTAAGGGTCATAGGAGTAGGGAGAGTTATGGGAGATACAAACACCTATACAAGCTGTCTGCTGTAGCCTTGGAAAAGCAGTTCCATAAGTTTTCCTGCTGTCTCCATTCGTCTGAATAAGGGAATCACTGTGAGCTTTAATTTTAATATTTCAAAAGTAGCCACTGTTTGAGATTTTGTCAGGGTGTGTAGGAGGTTTGGAGTCTCTGGGGACCAGGGTTGTTTAGCTGGAGGGAGCAGCCAATAAATAAAATTAAAAATGAAAGATTGATCCAGGCAAGATTTTTACAAGGGAACATTAAAAAATCTTTCCTCTGCAAAAGTTAGTGAATATGGAGACTAAATGGGAGATTAAAAAGCTCAAACAAAAACACTTTGATTTTCAGTGGGATTTGTGTTCCTGAGTCACTTATGCACTTAGAAATCCTAGCCTAAATTCACTTAATTGAAGTGTGAAATGGGAGAATTTTGGTCCTGCTGTCAGGGCAAGTCTCAATACAACTTTAACTGTGGACATATCATTACCTCCTCCGTTCTAGCCCCTGTATAGTATATATTTATATAATGTCTAAATATATATCTATATAAAAGAAAAACACTATAAACTGTAAGGAAAAAGTGAAGGTTGTACTGAAGAGTGAAGAAAATATTTGTTGCTTATCCTGTTAATGTAAAATTGCATTCTGTTTTTTTTTTAGTAATAAACTTTGTAACTGGTTTAAGATCTGTCCCTTGTTTCTCCCCCAGAACTTTTCCCTATTCCCCAAACCATTCAAGGTTTAAATTTAAAACTACAGAATCAATCACATTCTGGCTTAAAACTGCAGAACTGTAACTCAGCCCTTGAATTAAAGTGTTGCATCGCATATATTCCTGTATCAGGTGGTCTCAGAACAGTGGGAAGTGTTGTGCTGTAGTTTCTGGTGAGCTATGGGTCCTGCGGCAGCTTTGACGAGTACCTTTGCTTTTGTAAATTAAAACAAAGACCTTACTGTTAATATAATGCCTTTTTGTTGTTGTTGTTGTCCCCCTCTGCCGTTCACTTTTTATAGGAGTCACATCTCCGGTCTGGTTTAGTATGATCCACTACTGAAATCTGGGTGATGCTATTCAGGACCCTTGCTCTAAAAAGACATGAATAAGGCACTAGTCTGTGCCAGTTATCTGGGCATGCTATCACTTTGGAGAGGATGAAATAGAGACACTGCGTTGTTTGGATAGATGTAATTGGAGTGTCATTTCCTAGTGTAAACAAAATATATACCGAATATAATATGCAGCCTAGAGAAAATAAGGCTTTTTTAGCTCTTTTGCTTTGAGTCTCTTTTGCTGTGTAAAACATCATCCAAGAAAAGAAGAGATCCATAGGCAGCCTTCTGCCCTTATGAGATGGAATATATCACGCCTGCAACATAATCTGACTCCAAAAGTGAAAAGCCTGGTTATCTCAGTCCTATCTTGGCAGCTGTACAAGATCTTGCCAGCACCAATGCAATCTAGCTCATACAGTAAGCTTTCACCTACTGATATATGCTGAAAGTTGAGCACTGGACGAGGCCTTTAACAGGTAAATCGGCACTGGGGTGGCATGGTGGTAGAATGTAGACAACAATTTGAGTAATTCTTCATTTATTGTGTGATGTTATGATTAATCAATATGTTATATCATACATATTCATTGTATGTTAATTAGTGTTAATTGTAGGATTATAAAAGTATACAATTGATCAGTATTTAGAGGAACTAAGTATTAGACATGAGTAAGACAAGCTGAAATGCAAGAACCTGTAGGCTGAGGCCTGCATGACTTTAGCTTAGCTATCTTAGGCCTTGGAGACAAGAAATGATGATATAAGTGACTGGAAAATAACCCGATGCCCTAAGATTATGGGAATAGAGTTTCCAACTGGTAAGATTGTGAAAAATTACCCAGAAGATTAATATTAGATAATAAAAATACTGTAAAGGCGCATCTTTCTCCGATGTGTATCTTAACCACAGGATACAGGTTGTGCGTCAATGCTAATGAGAATAAAGAGAACTTATACAGTCTATAGAAAATTGGGGTCCCTTAAGTAGCCAGGGGACAAAGACCAGTAAGAGAAAAGAGGGTTGACACTTTTATGTGCAGAATGTAGGTACAGACAGAATCATATTATAAAAAGGGGATGCCCAGAATGGGAAAATGGAGCTCCTTATGGGAGACTCCAGCATGAACCATCCCTCTTTGATCCCTCTTTGATCCCTGATTATCAAACCATAAGAGACCATCAGACCCTAACACTGTTGTTAAGGATATGAGTATAACTATATTTGTAACTTGTGCACAGGTCCGTGTAGAATTTCTATATGCTTGGGTAATCATAACTTTAATCGTAACTTTAATAAAACAGTGTAGAGCAGACCTTGTACTTGTGAATGTCTATGTGGTCGCTACCTTTGGTCTTTGTGTTTCTAGAGACTCTAATTCTGAATCAACTAGCAGAGGTGACTTTCACTCTGTTAAGCTTGAAACTGTAGACAGCAGAGCTGAACCCACAGTAGTGTAATACCACATTACAAAATTCACTTTAAATAAAATAAAAGGCTACAAGAAGGAATACTGAACTTTCATAGGTGAAAATTAGGCCGAAGTTTTCACATATGGATCCCTAGCCATAGTGAGCTTCTTCTTATCTCATACTTCAACTCCCTTCCCCCTGCATTCCCATTACGTTTGTTGTAATCAGGCTGTGCCTTCCTATATTCGGGAAGGATGGGTAGGTGAAAGGATTGCTTAAACTGTGCTTGCGAGTTAGGTTATATCTTTGGCATAAGTGTATGGAGTGAAGCAGATTTTGTTAATTCCTGCGTGGGACTGAGGTAAAATCAAGAACTTTGCGGCTGACCTGAGAGATTGCAAGGGGCACACGTTCTAGAAAGCTGCCCATTAAAGTTGAGTGATTATGCCACCTGCATTTTGCTTCAGTGCTTGCTTTAACGTGTTCAGATTCCCCATAAGAGAAACTGATGTGC